ACAGGGTGACAGTATACAGCATTGACATACTCCTTTCCCAATTTGGAACCAGTCCATTATTCCATGTCTGGTTTCTAATTGTTGCTTCTTGACCTGCAAACAGATTTCTCAGGAGGCAGATAAGGTAGTCTGGTATTCCCATATCTTGAAGAATTTTCCACAGTTTGTTGTGATCCACACAGAGGTTTTAACATAGTCAATAAAGCAAAAGTAGATGTTTTTCTGGAACTCTCTTGCTTTTTTGATGACCCAACATATGTTGGCAGTTTGATCTCTGGTTCCTCTGCCTTTTCTAAGTCCAGCTTGAACACCTAGAAGTTCTTAATTCACACACTGTTGAAGCCTAGCTTGGAGAATTTTGAGCATTATTTTGCTAGCGTGTGAGATGAGTGCAATTGTGTGGTAGTTTGAATATTCTTTGGCATTGCCTTTCTTTGGGACTGGAATGAAAACTGACCTTTTCCGGTCCTGTGCTCAGTATACCTTTTAGCAAAAGTAAACAGCAGTCTGCTTAGTATACTTTTTAGCAAAAGTAAATGGCACAAAATCCATCATAAGGAAACATCCTATCGGGTTTTCATTTTTGCAAGCATTTCTCTTCCATGATTCACAGCCAGGGCATCTCCATTTTTCCATGATTACTTTTCCTCTTCCCAGTGTAACTGTCATCATCACATCTGTTTACCTCAGAATAGTCACCTGTTCACAGCCGCTTACAGTCCCTTCTGTGTTCATCTGGCTCCTCATTTCTCTCTACTGAGAAAGAATACTTCAAAAACAGAAACTGTTAAGTTTAATAGAGTGATTGACTGTCACCGACAAGCCAGGAATTAAATGCTGTCCCTAATAAAATATTCTCTGTAATTCATAGAGATGGAAGAACACAAAATGTCAAATTGTTGTATTGACTCTCTTAATTTCCAAGCAGGTTGTGGTTTTATAAAAGGTACGTTTTCCTACTAATACAGTAAATTGTTAATATTTATAATTCTGATTTAGTGTTTGTGATATGTTTATCTAGTTACATCATACACAGTTTAGTATCTATACAGTATAATCTATCTTTAAAACCTAAAAGGATGCAACTATCAGATCTGATCTGTGGTCATACCTCTTGGGAGGCTAATGCAACTAGGCAGTGCATAGCTAAGGGGAAGCCAGCCGCACAAAGAGGGGGAAGAGCCCAGATCACCCAGGCAGAGCATTGCAGCCTGGGGAGGCGGCTGCAGCTCACGGTGCCTTCGCTGGGAACAATAAACAAGCCGCCTTCCCCGTGTGGGCTGGGAGTAATGTTTCCATGTCTCCATGGCTACCTACCTGATCTTCGGGGCTCCCTGAGGAAGGAAGCTGGAGTGTGTGTGTGTGTGTGTGTGTGCAAACCAAAGAAGAGGAAGTGGAAAATGTTCCAAGTCGACAGCCAAAGGGGAAATGGTTTTTAAGAAATAAACCAGCTCAAAGGAAAAGTACAGTTAGAGTGGGAATTGAAAGGTACAGATGGTGTGATAAGTTCTAAGATTACACAAAAGAAGTCGTAATTATTGTTTTCTTCGTGGGGAATGTCGAAGCTCTTCTGGTACAGCCGGTTACTCTGCTTAGCAGTGTTTTTGTTTTCATAGTGTGCAAGTGTCTTACTGAAAGACAGGGCTACCTTTCTTATGAAAGCGATGAAATACAGCTGGACAATCCCTGGGCTAGGTCTGTAGGACTAAACCATGTGGTAGGCAGACTCTCACAGGGCCCCAGCGACCTCCCCGTCTCAGTACACAGTAAAGGTTCCGATGTGACTCCCTCCTCTCAAGTGTTGGCTGGATTGCTTGAGCTGCTTCTAACGAATCAAAAGGCAGCAAATTCGAGAGACGTGGTTCAGTTGTAAAAAGCCACGACTCCCATCGTGGGTGTCCTGTCTCCTTCTGTCTTAGGGTGACTTGCTCTGGGGGGAGCCAGCCGCCATGGCCCGAGACAGCCCTGCAGAGACACCCACCTAAACAAGCCTGGAAGCCGGTCTGTTGAAGCGCAGCGGCAGCCACATGAGTGAGCTTGGAGGCAGAGTCTTGCACTTGAGCTGCCTGCAGGCCGGCTGACATCTTCACTGTAACCTCGCACCGGGGCTGAGCCAGAATGCCCCCCGGGAAGCTGTGCCCAGATCTCTGACCCGTAGAAACTTTGACAATAGATGTGTATTGCCTTAGGCTGCAAAATCTGGAGTCATTTGTTGTACAGTAACAGATGACTAATTCAGCCCATGATGGGTAAGACGTGGCACAGCTGAAATCCCGTACAAGGTGGAGTGGAAGAGTCAGTCAGGGCAGGAGAGATGTGGACGGTGACCCAGCGCCCGGAGCAGCTGCTGTCCCTGCAGACACGTCTGAGGTCACTCACGTCACTCTGGAGCCCTGGCGTCATTCTGCCCATATCACACATGCATAACCTAAGGTTCAGAAGGACTAAATAATTTGAGTTTTGCCTTCTTTACTTAATGTACTTAAATGTACATGCCTTCAATGTACTTAGAATTGGCTTCTGTGTGTGAGGTGAAATAGTGTTGAAGTATATTTTTATATGGATTACAAATTATTCTATGCTTATTCAGTAAGGAATCTTTTCCAAGTTCCATTACTTCTGTTAATCAAAGATTGGTGGTAACTTCACACGTTTGGGCAAGTTTTTTAGCATATGGCTTTGCATGCAGAGGAGGATTGAAATAGAAGGCTAAGAAATTATCCAGCAAGTTTATTTCCTTTGACAATTGATAAAATCTATTTTAAACGAAAAAATAAAACCTCTCCAATAAATACTTTGAAAAATATGGAGGCATGGAGAATGAAATGGCAACCCACTCCAGTATTCTTGCCTGGAAAATCCCATGAACAGAGGAGCCTGACAAGCTACAGTCCATGGGGTTGCAAAAGAGTGGGACACGACTTAGCAACCAAACAACAAAATATATTAAGTAATATTAGATTTGAAAAAATCATGATCAAACTAAAAAAGTTTGAAAATCACTGGATGAAGATTGAAAAGAAAATAAACTGAAAATATTTTTTAAAATGGGGAGGGGGATGAATTGGGAGATTGGGATTGATGTATGTACACTATTGATACTATGTATACAATAGGTGACTAATAAGAACCTACTATACAGCACAGGGAGCTCTACTTAATGCTCTGTGGTGACCTATATGGAAAGGAAATTGAAAAATGAGGGAATATATTTATACATATATCAGCTATATATTCACTCTATAGTAGAAACTAACACAGCATTGTAAAACAACTATACTCCAATGACATTTTTAAAAAATACTTTAAAAAAGAAGGGTTAAATAACTTGCCCACCTCAATAGCGCTAGCAGGTAGCAGACACTGGTTTGGAACTCCGGTTTTGAAGTCTGATCTGTGAGTAGATACATATGGAGGTCCTGCTTCTATTACATTGCCAATTGCAGTGAATGGCACAGGGAATCAGTGAGAACCCTCCAGAGGCACGCGTCACCGTTCAGGTGATAAGAGCTGAGGTCAGAGTGGGTTGATCGCTGCAGGAACGTGAACAGCGGTGACAGGGTGGGGATGCAGGAACCCCCCAAGAGGGTTACAGCAGACACAACGGCACAGCCTCTGTTACCCCTGGGACGGCTCAGGCTCTGGAATCAGACCAACACTGGTTCAGACCAGTTACTGGCTCTGAGATCAGGACAGGTTACTTCTTGCTGACGTGGTGTCCTTATCTGTGCTGATTCAATGAGGCCATGCATAGAAGTTGCCTGGCAGTGAGTCAGGCATATGGCAAACACTTACTAGATGTTCCCAACTGATAATACTATTATTATTGTTTTCTCTTCAAATTTGACTTTCTTTGAATAAATATGTAATTACTAGTACCACCTTCTCTGCTCATTAGTCACAGTGATTTCTTTTAAGGGAGGAAAAGATATTTCCCTAGAATAATTGGGTGAGAGTTAAGTGTCCTTAACTTAACTTAAGAAAAAAAAACCTTAACTTTCTTAACTTAAGAAAAAAAAAGAATATGAGAAACGGGAAAGGGGAATAAAAACAAAAGGTCTATGTTTGGGAGATAATGATGATGTGAACAGTGCTGGGAGCAGAGGCAGGGAGGCAGGTGGACTCTGTCTGAAAGGAGCAGAGGCTGCCTTTTATCCATTTTCCTATTGTCCTAGCAGCATCAGGCCCACGGCCCTTCCATGAATGCACAATGGGCTCTTTCATTCAGCAAATGCTACACAAACCTATTGAGCACCATCATGCTTCATTGAGGGTAGGAAGGCTGCGCCTACATTCCAATAAGGCAAGAGAGGCAATCAACGTGTAATATGCAAAGAGATCTACATATGTAAAGTATGAATATATTTTGAAAATGATAACAGCTCAGGAGACTTCAAAGGAGGGAAAGGGGCTGGAAAGACCCTAAGGAAGGGGTCCTGCTGCCTGAACAAGGGTGGTCAGGACACTGGTCCCTTCCAAGGCTGCCTTCTGAGTGTGCGGGGTGCAGGGGAGCCGCTGTGGAGGGGTGCAGCCAGGGGGAGTCCGCAGGGGATGCTGGAGCAGCCAGTGCTGGCAAGGCAGCTGGCCAGAGTCAGAGACGGCAAGGTAGCTCGGTAGAGGGGAACCCGTCAGCGACCCAGTCCCTAGAGACAGTTCCACAAGATTCTTGCCCCTTTGGCACTCACCCAGAAAGTAGTCAGTGATTATACCTAGAATCTAGAAAAAGTGATACAGACGAATTCATTTGCGAAGCAGAAATAGAGACACAGATGTAGGGAGCAAACTTATGGCTACCAAGAGGGGAAGGGGGAGTTGGAGGGGAGCTGGAAGATTGGGATTGAGATATTTACTGACGTTATGTATAAAATAGAAAACTGATGAGAATCTCCTGAAGAGCACGAGGAGCTCCCGTCAGGGCTCTGCGTCATTTAAACGGGAAGGAAATCTGAAAAGAGGGGATGGATGTGCACACACAGCTGGTTCACTTTCCTCTCCAGCAGAAACCGGCACAGCACTGAAAGCAACTACACTCCAATAGAGATGAACAAAAACAGAAGCGGTCAGTGGATCTTCTCCACACACGGACAGCTCCTTTTCAAACCGCTGCCTCTGCACTGGGACTCGGGGCCGGTGAGTGTGCGTGTGAGCCCCTCGGAGTCTCTGCAAACACGGGGCACAGACTTGTGTTTGCCAGGGGGAGGGGGATGTGGAGGGGGGAGGGGGATGTGGACAGGGTGGGGGGAGTGTGGGGTTAGTGGGTGCAAACCATCATACGTAGAACGGAGAAACAATGACGTCGTAGCTTGCAGCACAGGGAGCTCTATCAGTGTCTTGGGATAAATCATAATGGAAAATAATATAAAAAAGACTAAATGTGTAACTGAGTCCCTTTGCACTATAGCATAAATTAACACATTGTAAATCAACTTTTTTTTTTAAGATTTATAAAAAAAAACAGAGGAGTCTCAGATTCCCAGCTCCCCTGCTCTCCCAGATGTACACACCCCAACTTTCAAAGCCAGGCATCATACAGGCTCAGCTCCCAAGGGTAGGGCGGCTCAGCGTGGGGCTTGAACCCCTAGCTACTGAGGGAAAACCTTGCCTCTGGGGTTCCCCCTCCTGCTTGTGGGTCCCCTCGCTGGGGGTGTGGGTCCTGAGTCGACCGCATCTCTGCCCCACCATCCATCTTTGTGCTTTTTCCCTTATAACCTTAGTTACGGAAGAGCGGTTTGGCTTCAGGTCATCCATTCTTAGAGAGTTGCTCTCTGTGGAGTGGTAGTTTCAGTATATCCACGGGAGGAGGGGAGTTCAGGGCTTCCTACTCTGCCATCTTGATCCTGCCTCGTACTTTTTTCTATTTATAACTCACTCTTTTAGATGTATTGTGTGTGTGTGTGTTTTAGAAATGCATCCGTACAGAGGTCAATGAATAGTGTGTAAATAAGTAAAGCTATAATGGAAGAGTTAAATGGAAAAAGATGTGTTTGGTTCTTTTTGAAAAACAAACAATTTGTAGGGTGATACTTTGGCACCATGGAAGTCTGTTCTGCAGGGACCTTTCCCTGAGTAGTTTTAGCATTCACTGATGATCTTTGCCTGCATCAGTTATTTAAATGGGAGCTGCAAAAATGATGCTTTTTCTGGTTCTACCCTTTCTCCTAAATCTGTTAGCTGGCTTGGTTCTAAGAAGAAAGAGCTTTCTCTTGTTAACTGGGGACGAACTAAGACTACTGAAATTTTAAAATGTCAGCCTTTGATGACCACTATTATTTTCACCAGAGCTGCTTTGTTATGATTTTGTAGACTGTGCTTCACACACCTTGAGGGGTAGTGTCTGATGAAGTAGTCACTGTATATTGTATACTTATTACGACAATTTTCTGGAGGATAGGAGAAAATCATCTTGCAGAAGGGTCTTCTTTTATCATTTAGACCAAGCTGTACTTGGGCTGGTGGCTGGGACTTATGTACCCACATCCCTGGCCACTCACCTTCAAAACTTTGAAATCAGCCTCTGGAAACCACTCCAGGGTGTCCCCCAGCTGTGTGCTTCTCCCCAAAACTCTGTGCCAGCAGACATGTTTCTCCCATTCTCAGCTTACCTCACATCCTTCATCATCTACTGGAAGAGCACTGAAGCCACACTGAATTGGGGGTGTTTTCAGGGTGATGGAAGAAAGGGGAGGCACCTGCCGTCCAGTGACCCAGAGGTCCCAGATGCCATCACCACAGTTCCGACTCTTCTTGCTTCTGTCCTATACAGGAGTAAACAGTACCCAGAGTTCACATCTGTACCTCCTTCTATTTCTAACAGACAGTGTGTGCTCAATCGCCCAGTCGTGTCTGACTCTTTGAGACCCCAGGAACTATAGCCCACCAGGCTCCCCTGTCCATGAGATCTTCCAGGTAAGAATACTGGAGTGGGTTGCCACTTCCTCCTCCAGGGGAGTCTTCCTGACCCAGGGATCGAACCTGAGTCTCCTGCATGTCCTGCATCTCCTCAGTTTCTTTACCACTGAGCCACCTGGGAAACCCTTCTAACAGACTAGAATTTTACAGAGCTGTACCTCCTGCCATGTGTTTATAGAGAACCAAGAAAAATGATAAGACATCTCACTCAGAAAGCTTTGCCCACCGAGTCAGTGAGGTTTAGTGAAAATCATCTACATCTAGTGGGACGGGGCAAAGTGTCCTCTTTGAGGCTCCTTGAACATCTGCAGGGTCTACAACAGCTGCTTGCATAAAAGCTGTTATATCTGCTTCTCCTTCGCACTCTGTGTTTCAGCAGTTCACAGAGCGATGGAAAGTTTCAGCTCTTTCCCTCCCTCTCTTGCCCAGGGAAGCTGTTGGCAATTCCAGCCTTTCCTTGACAAGGTCCTTTGGACACAGCATGCTGCCACCAGGAGGGCTCAGCTGTGTTAGGAACAAGGTGACAATCCATCTCTTCCATCTCCACTGGCTACCACTTCTGTTGCTAAAACTTTCCAAGCACTTTTGGGGATGGTTATTTCTTCCTGTACCATCACGACAATTTTCTTTTATCACCATGGGAGCTGTCGTGTATAATCAAGCTCTGTGCTCCAAAATAAAGTCAGAAGTAGTGGTTACATTACCATTTTGCTGAATGCCACCAACTCTGTCCCTATGGAATGTAGAGAAACTTTGTGCAGTGACTTTTATTTTTTGCCCTTTTTTTTTTAACAAGAACTCAGTTCATCCCTCTTACACTGTTGGTGGGAATGCAAATTAGTACAGCCACTATGGAAAACAGTGTGGAGATTTCTTAAAAAGCTGGAAATAGAACTGCCATATGACCCAGCAATCCCACTTCTGGGCATACACACCGAGGAAACCAGATCTGAAAGAGACACGTGTACCCCAATGTTCATCGCAGCACTGTTTATAATAGCCAGGACATGGAAGCAACCTAGATGCCCATCAGCAGACCAATGGATGAGGAAGCTGTGGTACATATACACCATGGAATATTACTCAGCCATTAAAAAGAATTCATTTGAATCAGTTCTAATGAGATGGATGAAACTGGAGCCCATTATACAGAGCGAAGTAAGCCAGAAAGATAAAGACCATTACAGTATACTAACACATATATATGGAATTTAGAAAGATGGTAACGATAACCCTATGTGCAAAACAGAAAAAGAGACTCCTATGTATAGAACAGACTTGTGGACTCTGGGAGAAGGCGAGGGTGGGATGTTTCAAGAGAACAGCATTGAAACACATATATTATCTAGGGTGAAACAGTTCACCAGCCCAGGTTGGGTGCATGAGACAAGTGCTCGGGCCTGGTGCACTGGGAAGACCCAGAGGGATTGGGTGGAGAGGGAGGTGGGAGGGGGGACCGGGATGGGGAATACATGTAAAAAAAAAAAAAAAAAGATACACTATGGTTGTGATAAAAATAAATAAATAAATAAATAAATTTAAAAAAAAAAAAAAAGAACTCAGTTCATATACTCATGAAACATTTCACTTTAGAAACTAGAAGATGGGTTTGAACCACCCTGTCTGTATCTTGAAATTCAAGTTTTTCCAACTTAGTACCATTACCATTTTAAGTTGAACAACTGTTAGTAGTAGAGGGTGTCCTGTGCATTATAAGCTGTTTACCAGCATCCTTGACTCCACACATGGATGCCAAGACACCCAGCTCCCAAGCAGTGATGTTCAAAAATGTCTCCAGTTGTGTCCAAACGTTCCCTGGGGGACAAAATTGTCTCCAGTTGAGAATCATTGTTCTAAATGATTGAGTATTAATATGACTGTGTTCAATTTGATAACATACATGTCTTTTTTGACATTTTATTTTTTAATTTATTTTTAATTGGAGGGTAATTGCTTTACGGTGTTGTATTGGTTTCTGCCAAACAACAGCGTGAATCAGCCGTGAGTATACCCGTGTCCCCGCCACTCCTGAACCTCCCTCCCACCCCCCACCCCACCCCTCTAGGTTGTCACAGGGCACGGGGTTGGGCTTCCTGTGTTATATAGCCACTTCCCACTAGCTATCTATTTTACATACGGTAATGTACAGGTTTCAATGCTGCTCTCTCAATTCATCCCACCCTCTCCTTACCCCACTGTGTCTGCGTCTCGATTCCTGCCCTGCAAATAGGTTTATCAGGACCATCTTTCTAGATACCACATATATGCATTAATAAACAGCATTTATTTTTCCCTTTCTGACTTATTTCACTGTATAACAGGCTTCTTGGTTCATCCACCCCACTAGGATTGACTGAGATTCATTCCTTTTTATGACTGAGTAATACTCCATTGTGTATATGTACCACAACTTCTTAACCCATTCATCCCTCGATGGACATCTAGGCTGTTTCCATGTCCTGGCTATTATAAACAGTGCTGCAGTGAGCTTTGGGGTAAATGTGTCTTTTTGAATTATGGTTTTCTCAGGGTATATGCCCAGTAGTGGGATTGTTCAGTCATATAGTGGTTTTATTCCTTTTATTTTTTTTAAGGCATCGGCATCTCCATACTGTTCTCATTGTGGCTGGGTCAATTTACACTCACACCAACAATACAAAAACATTCCCTTTTCTCCACACCCTCTCCAGCATTTGTCATTTGTAGATTTTTTGATGATGGCCATTCTGACTTGTGTACTCATTATAGTTTTGACTTGTATTTCTCTAATAATGAGCAGTGTTGAGCATCCTTTCCTGTGTTCATTGGTCATCTGTATGTGACATTTTATTTTTTTCTTTTCCAGTATAGCTTATTACAGGATATTGAATAGAGTTCCCTGTACTATACACTAGGACCTTGCTGTTTATCCATTCTATGTAGAATAGTTTGCATCTGCTAATCCCAGAGTCCCACTCCATCCCTCCCCCACCCACATGCCCCTTGGCAGTCAGAGGTCTGTTCTCTCTGTCTGTGGGTCTGTTTCTGTTTTCTGTCTCATAGTCACTGATGTCATATTTTAGATTCCACATGTAAGTGACGTACGGTATTTGTCTTTCTGATTCACCTCACTGAGTGTGGTCATCTCTGGATCCATCCGTGTTGCTGCGGATGGCATTATTTCATTCTGCTCCGTGGGGGAGTAGTATTCCACCATATACACACCTTCTGCATCCATTCAT